TTTAGGGTAAAGAGGTCCTTCCAGATCTGTGCTGGGGCACCTGGCTGGCTGGGAGTCGGGGTGCATGTTTCTGTATGTTCCTCAACTGGGTGTTCAACACCAGGGCCTCTGGCAAGTCTGTGGGTGAAACTGGGAAGGCTGCTGACAATGGCTATAGTCCCTGTTCAAGAAGGTTGTTGTCACCCTGATTCCTTTTAATCCATATTTTAAACAAAGCACTGCATAGTCTATGGAAAGGACTAGGACCAAGGCTTCAGCATCTCCTGCTTCCACGTGGCCAAGTGGATCTGGTGGGAGAACAGCACTATGCAGCCACAGTGGTAAGATGGGAAACTGGGAAATGAGCTCAGGTTTACCTGCTCAGAATCCCCGTGAGGATGCCCAGCTCTCAGGATCTGACCTTTCTGAGACTTTCCCCCACTCTGCCTTGGCCATACAGAGCCTCCAGCGGCAGTGATGATGCTGTTCCTGCAGGGAGGGCCCTTAGCCCCCACAAAAGACCCTGACAAGTGTGAAGACAAGAGGTTTTTCACCCAGTATCCACTGAATTAGCAGCTCCCCATAACTGAAGGGACCAGTCTCATCCTTCCCTACCCTGGAGCACAATTCCCACCTACCCTTGCAGTAACTCTGCCATTTGTCTGATGGCAAAAAAGGTCACTTTGACTGGCCAGTAAAGAAGCATTTTTTTATATTTCCTTGGTATCATTTTCCTGACACTACAGTGAACAAAACCAGCTCACCGTGCTAGCAAACAAGTTTGGGAGCAGGCAGAAGATGAGAGGAGGAAGCACATGGCTGGCAGAGACAGGAGAGGGGATGTAGCTCCCCTTTTCAGCAGCACAAGGGGTACAATCAGCTCAGCCTGTAATGTCAACCCACAGCCTGACCACTGTGGTTTCTCTGCAGAGAAGCCTTTCTTTCTGGTCATCTCCTCCATTCGTGCTGCCTTGCACTTCTCCTTTTACCAGGTAATGGGTACTGTCCTGTTCAGTGAATGTAATTCATACCACGTGGGCTTGGACTCTCTCCTTTTGCTCTTGCATGACTGAGTAGCAAAGTCCCTTTGTCCTAAAAAACCCCTTTTACCCCATCCTGCCCCCAGTTTCCCCAGGCCACTGCACACCAAGCCCCTTTAGCTGAGATGCCAGTCCCCTGTGTGAAACATGCCACCATCATGAATGAGCTGGGATGGAGAGGCTGAGCTGGGATATTTCTGAGTGCAGGGGGCCCTGTTGCCTTCTCACAAGTTCTTATGCTATCAGACATTGCCTGTGTGCTCACCACTGAAACACACCCTCAATAACAGCTGCTGCTGCTGCCAAGTTCTTGCAGGACAAAGGGAATAACAAAAGGTTCTTCCACTGGAGTGGTCTCTTCTTTTTACTTCCCTTCCTTTTTGCTCCAACTTGGAAAGAACAAAGTCAAGGCACTGCCAAAGCAGAGGAAAACAAGGCCAAGCACACACAGATGGTGACTTCACAAATTTAATTTAAAATCATCCTTTATTATTCAAAATATTAAAATTCAAGCAATAATGCCCAAAGGAGCTGCACTGATTAAAGCTCCCTAATGTTTCATGGCAAAATCTTGCTGCTTCCACCAAAGGTCACAGGGACAAGAAGTGAAACCCCTCTGGACTGTAGAGAAAAGTAGGGCTGTACCTGCTGTAGATCACTTAACCAGTTACTTACTGACCCAATCAGCTTCACTTGAAGCAAAGCACCAGCTGTTCCTTACCCAATTAATGATTGCCACAGCAAATTAACATGGCGCTACACCAGGCGTGGATGTGGTCCGCAGAGTCCGGAATGCACAGAGCAATATGCTATTGCAAAAATAATCACAGTAATATCTTTACCGTTAGGTAGCATCCTTCATCTGGAAGGATGCTGAAGTCCCTGAGCGCTATGTGGCTCACTTCATGCAACGTGCTCTGCAGTGAGGGGGCGGAGGGCAGGGAGGGAGTGTATAGTTGCTGTTTCAGGGGAAAGTAAAGAGGAGCTGGTCAGGGCAGCTCTACTGTGGCAGAGACAGCATTGACCACACGTCTGGTTCCTGCAGTCCAAACAAATCATTGCTTAATTGGTTGTAAATCTGCTGAACTCGAAGTGTGCCTTCCCCCTGCCTTATGCATCACAGTCCTCTCCAACGCCTCTCCTCCTGGTGTGTGATGTGACATCCCGATGGCACAGGGCTGCACCACAGATCCAGTGGGTGTCACGGCTTGATGTGCTGCCCATTCTCTTCCTGGTTACAGTGGACATAGCAAGCTTCTGGGTGTAGAGCTGGCCATCCAGCTGCAATGAGCATCCTGCAGTGGGAAGGAACCACAAGGCTGGGCTGCAGATGCAGGAAAGTTCACATGGCAAGGTGTTATTCCATGCTCAGTGCTGCTGGGCCAAGTGCTGCATTTCTGAATCCTTCCTCAGTTTCTCTACTATGGTGGAGGTCCTTGCCCTGTCTCTCTGCAGTCGTCCTGCATTGTGGGATCCTGCTGCCAGTATGGAAGAATAACCCAGCCACTACCTTCTTCCACCAAGTTTTCAGTCCAGCACCTAAATACTAATTAGTTTTGGCTCCACATAGTTCATGCTTTTTATGACCCTCAGACATTAATCCCCTATAAATTACAGTCCAGACAGATCAATCAGCCTGGAGGGCTTTGGGACACTGGTGTCTAGTGCTGAAGCATTACATTTTTCAATTTTCCTACAATTAGGCCAGCATCAGATATTATTGACAAATAAACCATGCAATCAAAGCCTTCATCCTGTCACGCTGCTGCGAAGAGGATCCATTTACATCCCAGCCAACTGCAGGATGCCCAGAGGGAGGAGACATGGGAGAGCCATGCCTCAAGCACCAGCAACCCCTCGTACGGTTACAGGAGCCACCCCTTTGTAATTATAGGACTCCCTCATTATAATTACTGTTATTTATATAATTGTGGTGAGTGTTTTCAGTGCTGTCAGCAGTCTGGAAAATGCCCAGCCCCACTACAGCCAAGCGTTTCAGGTGTTTCACTGCTAAGAGTCTGGGCTTAAATTATGATGGCCAAGAGCATGGTTGGGCCAGCCCAGGAATAGCAGCCTATGTCCTGGTGACCCGAAAGCTTTGTTTGGAAGGTTCCTATGCCTTGGGATTGTAGAGGAGGACATAAGGTTATCCCTGCCTCCTTCTCTCAGGCCACTGCTCTGGGAGCATCACACCCTGCATGGGCTGACATTCCCTGTCACCTTGCTGTCATTGGCTGCAGGAGACACTCCTGGATCATGAGGCACCACGTGGGTCACATGTCCCTGCAAGGAATCCAGTAATGGGTACATTCTCTCTGTCCTTTGTTTTCTCTCTGATCATCTTGTCTAAAAATCTGGAGGAGATGAGGTGTTTAGAGAAAATGAGGGAAGGGGTTGGTGCTCAGGAGGTGCTGGTTTTGTACCTGCAGCTGGAAGCTTCACTTTTGTTCCTGTGTCAAACACAAATCAAAAGAATGTGTTTAAGCTGTATGTGGGCAAGCAAGTGCTGATGTCTGTGGCTGGCTTCTTTGCATCTGAATAGGAAGAAATCCAGGGTATCTCACTTAAGATGCAGAGTCAAATATATATAAATGCAGTAAGGAAAGGAACCTGTTTTACCAGATGACAAACTGCCTATAAATCAATGTCTGCTGTAGAGAAGTAAAAACTTATCAGGGTCTTACAGTTAGTGCTAAAGACACAAGAAGTAATTCCTCTCTGTTGCTATATGGGAGGTGGCTTCAGCTTTTGGGCACACTGTGAAAAACTCAGGAAAACTGAAAAGAGATGAAGCAAATTTAATAAATGCAAGAGAAGTAGAAGTGATGACTGCCATAGAGTGAGCTGGTCTTTTAGGATGTGCAACGGAAAGAAAACCCTCCAGTCTATGTGCAGCTGATATTCAAGGGATGTTGATCAATAATTTTTTTATTTTGCTTCTTGGTACAGCAAAGGGAACTTGGCCCAATTTTCAGGGAAAATTGATTTAGAAACACTATTAGAAAAAAAGCAAAGTGTAAGGGCACCAAAGCACCACAGGAGGATGTTTATGTGAGGAGTGTACAGGATGGCTTTGAACAAACATCCCTCAAGAACATCAGCCTACTTGACCCATTCCAGAGATGCAAGTTTTCCTGTTTCACATGCCCTGCAGACCTTCAGACCAACTTTCTCTCTGGATGGCAGTCACCTATTATGGTACCCCCACGTGCAGGAGTAGGAGGTTCATTTTAGGTTTATGAGCAACAGTCGAGATGAACACTGCACGGAGTGCACCTGGAGCAAAATGTGGGAGCAGCAGAGCCCTCCTGGGGAAGCGGAGGGGCAGGCGCCGACCTGTTCACTCTCATGGCCAGTGACAGGACGCGAAGAAACGGCACGAAGCTGAGTAAGGGGAGGTTTAGTTTGAGTATCAGGAATAGGTTCTTCACCCAGACTTGGGCACTGGAACAGGCTCCCCAGGGAAGTGGTCACAGCACCAAGCCTGGCAGAGTTCAAGTGTTTGGACAATGCTTTCAGGGATTCTTGGGGATGGTCCTGTGTAGGGCCAGGAGCTGGACTCGATGATCCTGATGGGTGTCTCCCAACTCAGCATATTCTGTGATTTTGTGATTCTCTGATTTGAGGTGCTAACTGCAGAGAGCGGGGGCTGTGACTCGAGAGCCAGCCGTACGCCCTACGGGTAAGGTCTGAGGCTGTGGACGACCCTCCTTCAGTCACTCGGTCCGTCCCCCGCTCACCCCTGCCCGCCCCTCACACCGTCACGGCCCCACAGTACTACATCTCCCGTCGGTCCCCTCTATGACGGGCGACGCATGCGCCAGCCACCTCCCGACGTGCCCACGCCCCCGAGGCTTGCCGGGATTTGTAGTTCCAGTCTGCGGTATGGGCCCTTGCCGGCCCCACGGCCGGGGACTCCATTTCCCGTGGCCTGCGGGGCGGCGGCATGCGCCGCGCGGGCAGCGGGCGCGGTGGGGGGGCGGCGGGGCAGCGCAGTTCCCGTCTGCGTGGCTGCGGCCTTCACCGAGCGGGGGGGCGGGCCCCGGCCCGGCCCCGCGGGACCATGGACCCGGCCGAGGCCGTCCTGCAGGAGAAGGCGCTCAAGTTCATGGTGAGGGGCCGCGGCGGCGGCGGATGTGGCACCTGTGCGTGTGGAGGGGCTGGGGGATGGGCGTGGGGTGGTGGAGGGTGGCGAGATGGAGCGGGGGCAATGGGGAAGGGGACCCGGGAGGAGGCCGGGCCTCGGGCTGGGCTGGGCCGGGCCGGGCCGGACCGGGGCGCCGGGCTGGCGGGCAGAGGAGGCTGGTGAGCGGGGCCCGGGGTGGGGAGGTGTCCTGCCTGCCGGGGAGGGGCTGCGTGCCGGGAGCAGGGTCCCCAAATCCGTGGAAAAGGAGCACTGGGAGGAGGGGGAGGGAGCTCCAGGTGCCACCTGGGAGCGAAAGAAGTGAAACTGGAAAGAGGCAGGACCTTGCAGAGGGGCCCAGAGGCACCGGGAGGGTTTGCGCATGTAATTCTTGTTTTTTTCCTCTTTATCTGTACACCTCAGACTATCCTTCCATACGGCACACCATCCCTCTGTAATTTTGTTTTTCCTCCCATTTTCTACCGCGAGAGCTGTAAATACTGACACTTAAGCGTTTCACCTGCTGCCGCAGCAGCGTATCAGTTCTAGTGACTGCGAAGAGCACGTACATTGTTTAGATCTGTGAGTTGGCCTCTGGCATGGAAAACAGCCTTGGGGGTACTTGCATCCAAGCTACTCTTCAGATGCGGCTAATTTACGTAGATGCGAGGCATTGTGCACTTAAACTGTAGTTTCATTCTCTTTCTTCGTTAGTTGATATTTCTAAGTGTTTTGGCCAGAAATGTAAGATTTTAGAAATGAAAACAAACTGCTGCCAACCAAACTGCGTGTAAATTTCACATGCCCCAAACTGTTTTTTCCCTAAGGATATAATTTAAATGACTGGCAACACTTGCTAAAAGTTTGTTTTGAATTAGTGCTTCCAGTGGCACAGAATTAAATTTAGGCTCATCAGGAAGAAGGAATTCTATTAAACCTTCAAAACATATGCCCAAAATGAAATTGAGGAAACACTATTTGCAAATTTTAATTTTTAATTGAGCTTTGAAACCACTTGTTTGGCTTTTGTTTTTTGATCTGGAAGAACTTGTTTCTCCTGAGACTTTTTGACCCTTTTGCTAGTAGTCTTCAAGTTTCTCAGATTTATGGAGTCTCAGCTCAGTGAAGTGAGAAAATGCCATGGACACCTAAATAGACAAGGTAGCAATTAGTAATAATGAATGGTCCTCTTTGGTGCGTCGACGGCCAAAGGAGTGTCCCAGATCCTGCTGCACTTGTGTTTGGCCAAGCTTGGTAATTACAACCTGCCTCTAGATAGTGAGTTTCACATCCCAAAAAGTTTCTTGTGAAACATTGTTGTCTGCTGCCAGACAGGACTGTGTAGGTGCTGCCCTCTCTTCTCATATGCTGCCTTTTTTGCCTCCTGTACTGAGGTTCCCTTCCAAGGACTTAGTCCAGGCCTTTTGAGATCATCTGTAAGATCAGGCCTGGAGGCTGAGGGAATCCCCCATCCATCTTGCAGCTGGGCTGTGTCCCACTCGAACAATAGAGCAAACAATAGAGCTCCTTGACATTGGGAAGAGGCTGGAGCCTGAGAGAGCTGATCTTATGGGAGATGTGTCTGTTCAGAGCACCAGATAAAGGGAGGAATTACCAAGATCAGGCTGCACTGAGAGCTAAAAGCTAACCTAAGTTCTTCTATGTTTTATTAGAATGCCTCTTGTATGCAAAATGCTTGTAAAATGTGCAATGAAAGATGTGGCTTTCCTCTGTCCACTCTGAACTTTTTGGGGGTATTTTTGCTTACAGGTTGAGAGGAGAGTGAGAAAAGCTTTGGTTTAACACATCTCAGGCTTTTGCTTTAGTGCGTTTCTGTCTAGGATGTGGCTCTTACTTTAATTATGCTGGTGTAGTAAAGTTCTGTCAGACTAGGGGTCTTCTGGTGTTCACGGAGGGGTGGCACAGGTCGGTTGTTTAGATACGCAAAGTATAAGTTGCAAGTATCATCTTGGCCCTCCTAGGAAAAGTCTTCCTGTTTCTGCCTTTTAGCACTCAGGAAGTGCTTGGGCACTGCAGTAATGGCACTGGTGCAGCTATCTGCACAGAGGTAGCTCGTGCATCCTCTCAGCTAATGCTGAATCATTCACCTTGTCCATCCGAGTGTGGGACACGCTTCGTGTTCGTCTTCCTTGTTTGGTGGCTCACAGTTTGGGTTGAGGGGGGCTTTGCTATTAATTATTGATTTTCTCAGAGCTTCCCAGGCAGCATCGTAGGTAAATACTCAAATACATTTTGGAGACACGAGGCCTATTATCAAAAACTGGAGAGATAGTTTTGGTTTTGATGTGTGTTTGGGGTAGATTTCATTTCATATTGAAAAGCAACCCTGTAGGGGGTAGTCTTTTTGTGCTTCTCTAGAAGATAATACTTTTTTCCACTTAAATATGTCAGTACCTAGTTTTTGACATTGACTTTGAGCAGCTCTCTTGAGTCACAAGATATCAGGCAAGATGGACCTGGTGATTTGTTTTTCATTTTAATGTCCAACTCTAATAGAAAAATGTCATGTGGAAACTTCATCCAGTGCTAATATTATGAATGAAACTATTTTGCTTTAAGGCATCTATATTTAATGCTTTGAAAGGCAGATTGTACTCTGTTGTTTTGCTGTATGCTTATGTCTGTGCAACATTTCGATGGGAGTAGAAGGCAGCTGCCTTCTCAGTGGCTGATACTGGCTTGATTACTTGCCAGTGAAGCAGTATTACATTTAACTAATAGCTGCTACCAGATTCCTAGTTATCCATGGTCAGTTACAATACGTATAATCTAATAGTTTAAAGTTTAAATCATTTATTTAACTTTGTTTCCTTACTCTACATTTTAATAAGGCCTAATTTATTTCTCATATTAAATTACTGTGTATTAACACTGTGCAATACAAAGCAGCTGCTCACCAGGGAAGATTTTTTGCTGGTGAATGAGTGTTTTCTATCATGTGTTCTACATGTCATCAAGTTGTTTGTTTGTTTGTTTGTTTATTTCGAATGAAAGACGGTTCATAGATTAAAAATATGATCTTTTAAATTATATAGTCCAGTTTTCTGCAGCTACAGCAAGGATTTTACCAGAGTGGAACCTATCTTAGTTCACTTCAGCCCTTTTTCGTGTTTGTACAATGCTACAGATAGAAGTACACTCTTTATAAAGTGCAGTGTGTAAGAGACTGATGCACAAGCTGAACATGCCCATTAACTTAAAAAAATGCTCACAAAAGCCCTGCCCCAACCCCCTTGCCTTACAGAGCTCTGCTTTTATGCCTTCAAGAAATGGAATTTCCATTGTCATAACTGTTTACAAAGGAACAAGAAATTGAGGTGCTGGATAAGTAACTTTCATGTTTGAATAAGTGTTTGAAACTGTAGATACAGTATTTAAAGTATGAGTGTGATAGGCTCAACTGAGACTTTGATTAAATGTCATATAAAGTAAACTACATAAGCCTGCATAGAATAGTAGATATTTTTTCAAACTAGCTTCAAATGGTTCTGTTAAGTATACGAATGTTCTGATGATTATCTTTTTAATTAAAATGAGAAATCTTTGTTTAAAGTGGCATTCTTTTTTACGGCCTGTTACAGTCTCTGTAACAATCATTTCTTAAGTCTGAACGTTTTTAATTCCAGGAATCCATTTATATAAAACTATGTTTAGACTTAATTAAGGAACAATTCTTACAAAGCTTGTAAATAGCCAGGAAAAAAGGACAGAAAATAAAACTGACATTCACACTTAACAGAATGATTGTTACAAGGTATGTAATATGCTATAAAAATACAATAAAGCCCTTTTTATAAGAGTTCATATTTTTTGTTCCTCATTTTGAAAGGTATTTAAGAAAAATATCAAAGCTCTATGAAGCGACATCTGTTTTCTTGAATGGACTAGTGACAACTTCGGTTGTATTTAATTAGCAGTGCTTGGAACAGTACCTGACCAGTTTGGGATCCCATATAGGATGGCTGGAGAGGCAAAAGCTTGATATTTAATGAAGTTTCACTTTCTCAGTTTTTACAAATTAATCAATTTGCAATAATTTATTTAATTTCTTGGCCCGTGAATAGAAAGATGTCAATCCTAGCGTTCTCCATGAGTGTCTTTTTTTCTGTTTTATCCCTAAATTACCATTTTCCTTTTCTTTTTGGATACGATTCTAGGAGGTGCTGATGGACCTTCCACTTTCACAGGAGAAGCAGAACCTTTTGGTTGTCTTTTAAGATGCATCTGTGCATTGGGTTTTGGGGGTTTTTTGGTCATTGCCAGTTTTTTAAGGGTTTTGTGTGTGTTTTTGTTTTGGTTCGGGTTTTTTTTTAATTAGGGAAAAGTGTGAAGTTGATTAATTTTTATACTCTCATGTTTGTAGGAGTTTCCACACAACTGCCAGGTAATACAGTGAAGAATAGTCAGTGTGACTGCAGGCTGAAGGGTAATAAAGTTGGAATTTTTTTTCTGTTTGTGTGTGTATATATATGGAACAGATGGACAAAGGCTTATACTTTAAAAGACATTCTATTTGCAGTGAATGATTTATGGTGTCAGTAGGACTGGGATTTTTAAGACCTATGATTTGTTAGCTTTGTTTTAAGAAAGTCTTCTTGGAGAACCTTGCGGACTTCCTAAGAACGTATTTATGTTGTGGACATTGTGGCAGAGAATCCTGAGTATCCAAAGCAAGGGTGTCATGAAAGCAGTGAGAACAATTCTGTGAGCTGGGAGAGCAAGAATGTTGCCTCCTAAATGTGGGCTTGCAAGTCCTGTTTGAATATTAAACGTGTGCTTAGCTGAAATAGCATCCTCTTAGTTGGAAATTTGTTGAGACTAGTGTATTGCAAAGAAAATGTTGATTTATTTTCTTCCATCCCAAACTTTGTGCTGTAGATTTTTCTGCACTTGGTGCAGGCCTCTGGTACTTCAGGAACTTCACCCTCACTTCTCTGGTAATGTTTCATTTCAGCCACTTTGCTCCA